ATGATGATGATGATGCTGTTGGTGATGATGATGCTTCTGATGATGCTGATGATGATGATGTTGAAGATGATGACGCTGCTGATGATGCTGATGACGACGACGATGATGATGACGATGATGATGATGATGCTGATGATGGTGATGATGATGAAGATGATGACGCTGCTGATGATGCTGATGACAACGACGACGACGACGACTACGACGACGACGACGACGATGATGATGATGATGATGATGATGATGATGATGATGATGATGCTGGTGTTGGTGATGATGATGTTGACGACGACGACGACGATGATGATGATGATTATGATGATGATGGTGGTGGCGGTGGTTGTGATGATGATGTTGTTGTTGTTGTTGTTGTTGTTGTTGTTGTTGTTGTTGTTGTTGTTGTTGTTGTTGTTGTTGTTATTGTTGTTGATGATGATGATGATGATGATGATGCTGATGTTGATGATGAGGAGGAGGAGGACGAGGAGGAGGAGAAGGAGGAGGAGGAGGAGGAGGAGAACGAGGCGGAGTTTGTTCTTCGTGGTGGCCGAGTCGCGCAATGTGCTTGCCGCCCGTCGGCCCGATTTGTCGCAGGGCATTGGGGCCTCGATGCTGCGGGCGCCATGAACAGGCACGCGGCAGTAGGAGACAGCAACGCAGAGGAGGAACGCGGAGGAGCAGGAGGAGGAGGAGGAGGAAGAGGAGGAGGAGGAGGAGGAGGAGGAGGAGGAGGATCGCGGAGGAGGAGGAAGCGGCGGCGGCTGCGGCGGAGGAGGAGGAGGAGGAGGAGGAGGAGGGGCCACCGAGTGCGGCGCGGGATTACCTCGGGGTGTGCGGCCGTCAACCGCGTCAAAACACACTTCCTGGGAGTTCCGCGCCGCAGATCAACATGACTGTTGTGTTCTGGAACTGCTACATGGTGCCAGAAACCATACCTGGGACTGCAACACCGCGAATCAGTGTGACTGTTGCAGTGTGACTGTTGCGTTCTGACAAACCTAAGTCGTGCCCGAACATAATCCCTCGGACTTCAATCTTACGAGCCCGTGAAATTGTTGTAGACTTTCAGGATGAATGTGCGCGGCGCGTAAGGCGAGAGCCACATGGTGAAACCGTTACTTACTTTTGAGACGAAGCTGCGCGGCGCTAAGGCGAGAACCACATTTGAAAAGGATCCGCCCTCCATTCTTGAAGCCGTTGCAGACTTCAAAGACGAATGTGCGCGGCGCTCAGGCGAGAGCCACATTTGGAAAGGATCCGCCCTCCATCCGTGAAGCTGTTGCAAACTTCTAAGGCGAATGTGCGCAGCGATACCGCGAAAGCCACATGTTGGAAAACATTTGTACTCTATCCGTGAAGCTGTTACAGTTTTCAAGCTTCAGGATCGTCATTGGTGAGGAAGCCTAGGTGAAACGCAGGGTCCGCCCTACTCACACGTCTGGGGGTGCGACAGGGAGGAGGTATTCATAGAAAAACGGATCGAAGAGGAGGAGCAGGAAGAGGAGGAGAAGAAGGAGGAGGAGGAGCTTGCTCTGCTGGCCGAGCTACCTCCCACAGCCTGTCGAAATACAGACGACGATGACGACGCTGACGACGCTGACGACGACGAGGACGACGCTGACGACGCTGATGACGACGACAACGACGACCACACGACGACGACGGTGACGAAGACGACGATGACGACGACGACCACGACGACGACGACGACGACGATGACGTAGATGGCGCGAGCGACGTTGGCGCTGGCGTCGACGACGGCGACGACGACGCCGACGCCCTCTCCGCCAGCGGCGCGGCTCCCGCAATGGTGCCCGGCTCCCCGCTGGTGCACAGCAGGCCTCTGGCGGCCCAGGCGGGTCCGACCGTCCTCCGATGGGACAGGCCCGGTGGCATTGGAGGGAGGCGGGGGGTGGAGGAGGCGGACGAGGGGGAGAGGGGAAGTTGGAGGAGGAGGAGGAGGAGAAGGAGGAGGAGGAGGAGGAGGAGGAGGATGAGGAGGGGGCGGCAGTCGACGACTCTTCACGCCATCAGGACTCAGTAATCAGCAGAAAGAGGAGGAGGAGGAGGAGGAGGAGGAGGAGGAGGAGGAGGAGGAGTGGGAGCAGGAGGAGGAGGAGGAGGAGGAGGAGGAGGAGGAGGAGGAGGAGGAGGAGGAGGAGGGGCTCACAGGACTCCTTGTTAGAGTATGCGGAGCTATTCTGCAGCTGTGCCGGTGCGGTGTGTTCGATCACAGTGAGAATAAAGACGCGGTTGTTAATGGAGGTACAGTTCAGTGCACGTGAACTTGACCGAGGGATGGTCCCCGGTGATAATCTCTTCTTTGGCCCAACAAAGTCCGCCGCCGCGAACGGTGATGGCGACGGCGAAAAGACCATCGATGATAAGGAGGTGCGAAGGAGAATCATAGAGTTTTTGCTCTGGGCCTTGAGGCTCTGCTCGGCGACCGTCACCAACTCGGGGGGCTGCATATCCTAATCACCGAGGTTGTTTCTAAAACAAACAGAGACGGGGTGCCACATCCCAAGTCTACCATATTCTCGGCTTTCTGCCAGCCCAATTCGTCTTCGAGTGAGCTACAGATCATCACGAAACCTCGAGATGAGGTATGTGGGAACGGTGGGAAATTCGAAGAAGGTCTGAATGAAGGGAGACACACCCTAGAGCGTACTGATGATGGGAATTCCGCCCGTCTATGAGAGATGGATGGAAGAATCTCACGGCGTTGTGTTTGCACTGGTCACGAAGGATTACGTGGACCTGGTAAGGTCTAGCCCGAGTCGATTCCCCGAGTCGGTCACAGGACTTCCCTATCCCTGATAGTGTCCACGTTTTGTTCTACACGGCGAGTTCGAATGCCCGTTCGGTTGCTGCATTGGAGGATTCCTCCAGCGGCCTAGGGGCCGCATATGCTGGTGGCGGAGACGGCGATCGGGTGTTTGACGACATCGAATTTGGAAGGTTCTTTGCGGGCGAGTTCGATTGCACCAAGCTGCTGAACTTAATGGAACTGGAGGTGGCAAACGTTCAGGTCCTGGTCACGCTTGATCCTAGAGCGTTTGCAAATCATGATCCCCAGCTGGGACTAGGAGGCGTGATCCTGACGAGGGAGAGCCCAATAGTCAACGACGTGTCAGGTGTTTACACATCGAGCTGAACGGGTCAAATATCTCGTTGGTGAGCACATCAGATCGCAATGCTATAGACCTGTATCTATAGACCTGTATCTTTCTTCAAAGAGGAATACTGGGTGCATCGTTGCCTTGAGTGGATCGTGGGTGCTCGCGAAGCTTGATGTTGATAGCAGCGGCTTATCCGACTAGCAGCTGATCATGTTTGGCAAAGTTCCCAGGCCAGATGAGGCGTACTTTGTTTGCGAATGCGATGAGCAACTTCGACTCAGGATTCTCAAATGTCTGAGTTGCGGCAGGAGTTGAGTGCATGCCACGGGTAACAGGCGAGCCCTAAAGGAGGTGTTGGTCAAGTACTGATTGAGCGTCGTTGAAACGGAGCAGCCTGCAAGAATTCCCTCAGCGGCAGAGGCGGAAACAGACTCCGCGTCGGTAGTGACGGCCAACGCGAGAGGCCATGTGCAGAAGAAACAAGAGAGTGATCCGTTGCTTCGTTAGAGCGCGTGCCCTAGAGAAGCAGATACATGATAATCACGGGCTGCTTGCGGCCACGTACGGGTCGCGATGCTTGCGATCGTGAAGCGGCATGGGGCCCGTGGGCCCCCCCCCCGCAGCGACGTAGTATAGCGTGGGCTCCGAAATTTGAGCGATGCAAGCCAATGGCTTGGCCTTTGCCGTTCACGTAGAAGTTTGGCAAGCAAAGTAAGATATTTCAAGCGTGCGGGAGCAAAGCTTGGTCTGACCTCGATGTCGCGGGAACAATGATCTCATGGCATCCGGAACACTGTCCACTGGTCGATCCGAATCCGCATGCTCCAGGCCTCGGTCCCCCTGGTAGTTTTGATTGGGACTTTGCTGATTCCGGAAAGGCCAGGCGGATTATATATACATATATACACAGATGTAAGTATGATTGCAATGATCATTATCATTATTATTATTATTCTTAATATTATTATTATTATTATTATTATGATGATCATTATTATTATTATCATTATTATTATCATCATCATTATTATTATCATTATCACTACTAGTATTATTATTCCTACTATTATTAATGTTTTTTTGGGGAACATGTGTAATTATACATATATCTTTGAATTGCGCAGGCATTGGAAAGCGTTGAGCCGAACGCGACTGCGGTTCGCAGCGACGAGTGCGTTGCTCATCGTGGAGGCGTAATGTTCGCTCCCAGGTTTTGGCCGCAGGCGTGTTCGGGTCCTTCCAGTCTCAAGAGCGGTATAGATCTTCCCTTTCCCGTGGGATTCATACTGGACGAGGCTTTGCGGCGGGAGCGAGCGGCGGAACGTGGTCTTCCCGTGAGTTCCTGACTGGGGATACGATGAAGTGGTTTCTGACGGCGACAGCATTGGGGCTGTAGCGAGCGACCGAATACTGACAACACGATGGAACAGATCGAGGGGAGAAGGGTGTTTGCCGTGGTTCTTGGGTGATCGTGGTTCGCGTTGCCCGCGTGGCGATCGAGACATCTCGCCGATGTGCTGACCCAGTGGGTATGCGTAACGACGGAACGATAAAGCAACTGTTTTGTGATTGCGTTGTTCGCTGCGTGTGGGGGTGTTGCGATGATGTGGGTGGGCGTGTGTGCCGTGGGGGCTGCGCCCTTCATGGGCCCGGTTGTCTTCTGACCGAGGGATTCAAGTCCGGTGCCATTTTGCCCTCTCGGGCCGCTGTGAAAGATGTCGTTGGCACCCTCGAAAAAGGGTGGTATTTCATGGACCCTCGCAAGTCAAAGGATGCATCGTGGGAATTCATAGGAGCGATCGAAAAGCACAGCATGTGGTTCGCCGCGGCTGCCACCTGAACCACAAACAAAAAACTTATCCTGAACTGGAGCTCAGT